AAGATATCCGCGTACGCCTTCTGTTTGGGCTTCGGGTATTGAGCCATCTATTGGGCCTTGATACTTGGGCCCTAATGGACTATCTGGATAGATGTGTCTTGGGCTAATTAGAGGATCAAACCTTTGGATAAGGCCCAATAAGAAGTGGGCCCAATTTGGAAAATTGGGCTAAGTGTGGGCCTTGAAGTAATTTGGACCTTTTGGATTAAGATTTGGGCTTGGGTTGCATTGGGATTTAGGAGTTTATTTTGATGTTGGGCCTTTTGTCATCTAGTTGGGACTTGGCTTTGTGCCAAGCTTGAGGAAAGGTAAAAGGGTCTTTTACCCTAAATTGGACTCATAGTATGAGTCAGTGGCTAGATGTTGATGGGTTGTCATTTTGGTATCTGTTAGCGCGTGTGTGATAGTGGATCTGCAGTCAGAGATTATTGATGGAATCAACTATTGAGGGGGTGTTGTCTTGATGTTGGCGGTTCGGGGATCTGGTAGCCAGCAGCCAGGGATCGTCTGTGTGTTTCGGTAGTGGGAGGTGAGTTTTTCCTCGTTGTATTTGCGGGTCGAAGGCACCAATATCGACCTTTTGGATTGTTATCCTGGTTTATCGTATGCTTGTATGTTGTAGTGATTTGTTATATCGGTATCCTGGTAGATAAGATGTTGCCATGTTGTAGTGATCTGTTAGATCGGTATCCTGGTAGATAGGATGTTGCCATGATGTAGTGATATGTTAGATCGGTATCCTGGTAGATAGGATGATGCTATGCCTAGTGATCTGTTAGATCTTCCTGTTATATGTTCTTGCTATATGTTTACCGGTCGCATGTGTTGATGTAGTGTGGTTGGGTTGAGACTGTGTTGCTTTGTGCTGCTAGTCAACAAACCCGATGATATTTATATTGGTATGTTATGTGTATGTTTATCTGTTATGTATATGTCGACATGGTTTGTGGGTATGGTTGGGCTGAGGCGGACATGCTTAGTGCTAAAGGCCAACGGACCCAGGGTGGCCCGGATAGACTGAAGGCCTGCGAGGCGGACCAGTCAGGCCGAAGGCCCGGAGAACGGTCCAAACATGCTGAAGGTTCGGAGAACGGTCCATACATGCTGAAGGATCGGAGAACGGTTGAGACATGCTGAAGTCCCGATGAGGCGGTCCAGACAGGCTAAAGGCTCTGCATGCATGCTATTTGCTGTTATGTTTATGATTATGTGTTGTGGTGGTACTTTAGGGGAAACTCACTAATCTTCGTGCTTACAGTTTTGGTTTATAGTTTCCGATACTTCAGTGGATCGTGGGAAGGAGAAGGCGTGACCGTACATATCCTCGTGTTTTTGGAACTTATGGTCAATAAGGCCCAAATACCATCAATCATAGACCTAGGCCCATAGGCCTTAATCCACAGGTGGGCTTGAGGCCCAACAATTCAAGGCCCAACAACCTAGAGCCCAAAGATCACTTTTGTCTACTGCATGCGTACGCGTGGCGTACTCTGCATGTACGCCCAACGTACGCTGGTCTTGACCAGATACGGGTGGTTAACCCAGTACGCACAGCGTACCAGGGATACGCCTAGTGTACTGGCCAGTCAACCCAAAACCTTCTTGTGACTTAATCCATTAAGCCCTAACATCCAAAACATAGATCTAGGTCCCTAAAAATTTTCTAATCCATAAAGATATAGACTTTATGCTTTTGCATGCATTGATGGGGACTAAGACATAAATCAAGTCCAGAAACACACTTAGTTGACATCTCACAATTGCATGGTTGAGGCTAAACCATCAAGGTCCAATTTTTATGGCTCCTAACACCTCCAAGACCCAAAAAGGACAGCTCATATGGACTGAAACTCCTTTAACTCAAAAAATCTAAACTATGGGACCAAAATATAACATTAATCACCCCAAAACTAGATCTAAGCATGTCATGGCCAAGGTTAAAGCTAAAATTTAAGGTTTGCCTCTGGCCAGACTACGCCCAGCATACACATGGGTACACCCAGCGTTCGCAGGGACTTCCCCGATCCGCGCCCAGCGTACGACCCTCCCCCAATAATCACATTATTATTATCTATTTCTTTTTTTGAGAAGCTTGCATTAGAAAAATTCCTGGAGACTCGAGCGTTACAAATCTCCCCCACTTGAATCAAATTTCATCCTCGAAGTCTGCTGCTTGGAATAACTCCGGGTAGTGCTCCCCCATCTCGTCTTCTGGTTCCCACGTCCATTCCGAGCCCTTATGGTGCTGCCACTGCACCTTCACCAGCTCGACCCTTTTGTTCCTCAAATCCTTTCTCTTCCTATCGAGAATCGCTACTGGTCTCTCAATATAGTTCAGGCAGTCATCCACCTGAATATCCTCCAAAGGAATCATTGAGGAATCATCAACTAAACACTTCCGTAGATGTGAGACATGAAAAGTACTATGGATCTGCCAAAGCTCCTCCGTAAGATCTAGTCGGTACGCCAGCCTGCCCACCGGGCTATAATCCTGAAAGTTCCGCTATACCTGGGGCCCATCTTGCCCCGCTTCCTGAAGTGAACGACATATCCTTCCAAGGTGACACATTTAGGAGGACCATATCCCCGACCTGGAACTCTTGGTCTGATCGGCGTCTGTCAACGTAGCTCTTCTGCCGACTCTAAGCCGTCTGGAGTCTGCTCCGGACCTGCTGGATCAACTCGGTCGTGTAACACCTGTTCCAGGTATTGATTAATTTATATTATTTTTAAGGTTTTGTGCATGGACTAGGCGAGTTGGGGTGATCCAACGCGTCGAGTAGATACTGTTAAGGGGACGCGTGGTTTGGGTTCTACTCGACGAGTCGGAAGGCCCCGACTCGACGAGTCGGAGCTGTAAAGAGAAACCCTAATTTTTAGGGTTTGCACCCTATTTAAGGAACACAACCCGCCTCTTGTGTCCTCCCTTACCACCCTACTATCCATAGAAAACCCTAATTCGACCTTGCACCTTCTTCGGTGAGAGTGGGAGCTTTTGTGAGTGATCTTGGAGTATTTGTAAAGAATCCTAGAGCTTGAAGAGGAAGGAGCAGGAAGAGAAGCATTATATACGACATCTACTCTATCTTGGCCATCATCTTGAGGTATAAAGTCGTCACCTTGATCCCTAGTTGGTTAGATCCCTTTTCTTGGAAGTAAATGGCCATTTTTGGTACAAAATGGAGTCAAACTTGGATCTGGACTTATCACAACGATATGGTTCCAGATCTAGACCTCTCAAGGTCCCCAATGACATAAATTTGCTCACTTTATGCAGCCTAGCCCCTTTCCATGCACAAAAATCTTATAAGATGCTTAGTTTTCACATTTTAGCCTTGTGAGGCCTTGCATGCATGTAAAGTTAGCAACTTTACGTGGTAACTGCTCTAGGAGAAGTTGGATCTGATGTTTGGGACCCTGGAGCCCACTAGAAAGGACCGAACAAAAAAAGGGCTGAAGGGACTCGACGAGTTGCTTAGCCAACTCGACGAGTCGGGAAGGGTTTTCCTGTTTTTGGGATCATGAGTGATTTCGGTGAAGCTGATTAAGAGATTTCGGTCAAGAGATTTCGGTGTAGGGTTTTTGGTCTTTGATCATGGAGGAACTCGGCGAGTTACATAGGTAACTCGGCGAGTTGATGAGTTACTCAAGAGACTCGACGAGTTGCTAGATGCACTCGACAAGTTGAGGTCAACATGGACTGTTGACCTTGACTGTTGACCTTGACTTTGACCAGGGTTGACCTTGAGGGTATTTATGGTACTCCGGGATTGTGACAAGTTAATCACATGATGACTATAGGCAGCGAGGAGGAGCAGTGTGTAGGATACATCTTGTGATCATCTTAGCAAGTTGATCATCTTGTGCAGGAGACTCGTTCTTGAACCCAACTTTAAACTCATTCATACTTCCACCCATATACGCTTCCATGTGACGCATTGTGAACACACCACAATCAATGTGGTTGTTTATTGTTCTCCAAGGCAATTCCAGTCTATGTGGCATCGCATATGAAAACATCTCAGTTTTTGGATGATTCTGAGATCTTAAGTAATCAAGTATGTACGTTTTTTGAAAATGTTAAAATTTTTTGTTAACATATAGGAAATGTTATTTAATAATTAATGTAAGTTTTATTGATCACTTACGACGATCTGGGGCAACTGACCATATCTGACCTTAATAGGATCATCAACTTTGTTGTTGTCAAGGATTACAAACTTTGGTGTTGTAGATTGATTACAAAAAGGAAATTGTGGAAGGAACGGACAACCGGTAGGAAAAGCTGGAAAATGGAGTAATTTAAAGGTATTCAATTTATTTTATATTTATATATGATTATTAATAAATTAACACAAAAAAGTAAAATATATTCAGATATGTATCTTACCAAACCAACATAACGTAGTGTTGAGTCCATATCTTCAATAGAAAGCAAAAGACTCTCAAGGAATTTAGCTTTGCATTCACTTTATGTTAACTTACCTTCTAGGTACGAATTCTATAATGTAGTTTTAAAAAGTCATTAGTTTTTTAAGAAATTGTATTTAACATATATTTTAATCAACAACGAATATTAATGAATTATACCATCAACTCCGTCTTGCAATAAACTCTCAGAGGAGATTCTGGTGCACGCTTACTTTCATCAAGATTCAACACTTGACTCCGAAAATCAATAACATGACCAAATAGTTCACATGTAGGAAAAAAAACTTTCCATGTGAAACCTCTGAGCAGAAAAACCATCCAGACTGTGGAAAACTATATCAGTGCAAAAAATATGACTGATTGTAACTTTTTTTAATATTTAACCAAATAAAGTAACTAACATTAAACATATGTTAATTGTAAATTACGTTGGCTCGTCCTGGAGAGAGAATATCCAGTCTGCGACACGTTTTTCTAGTCGTGGAATTCCTTTGGTGATATCAACTGCCCGTATAATGTAAGGAGATTTGATATAATCGGACTTCATGTGAGGCCTGTCCCCTCTTCTATTAAACCCCTTTTTGTTCATTCATGAATGGGACAACAAACAAAGGAATTGGCATTTCTATTTTAGATGGTGGTGTACTATGAAAAGACTTTTTTCCAGATCCATTCATGAAGTCTGCATAATCCTTTGACATTTGAATACTACAGTTTGCTATCGGTGAGTTGTCAAACTGTTTATGAGATGTTGCAAGAATTAGTGAACGTTCGATTTCTGCCTCATTATCATACCACCATTGAGATTGAACTGGTTCCTCTGATGTTGCAACTTCTTTAAATAGTTCATTTAATTTGTTTTTCCATTCTTGGACCAATGGATTCTTAGGGTATTTCTTGACAGAATCATTTATTTTATCTTCCAACACTTTCTTTTGATGCATGAGCATATCGTACATCTCCTTTAGTGTTGAAAGAGTGGCCTATTAAAGTTAACACGATGTAATTGTGTACAAAGCAAATAAAAAACATAAATATGTCATCAAATATTAATTAATACTATATTAATTCATCATTCACATGTGAATACAATGTAAACTACCTCAATTGTTTCACCACTTCCACTAAAATTTTCTTTTCCTTCATTTCCCTACGAAAATTAATAAATTAAGATTTTTTGAATTGAACATAATAGTATATTAAGAATTCTATAAATCATTTCAAATTATATAGGTTAACCAATATTAATCACTTTTGAATTTATTAATTCAATACATGAATTTATTAGTTTAAACATTCATAGATTATTTATTAATGATTATATCATGTTAATACCTTAAAGCTTCCATCACTTATTTTCACACGTTCTCCTGCTTCATTTGCCTATCAATATGTATGAAAATAATTAATGTCGTTTAAAGAAATACTAAAGTATAAATCTAATATGCATTATTAAATACAATAAGATAGTACCTAAACTTTTTCATGAACTATATTACCAGTAGCATCCGATTCATTGATGACTTTAAATGGTTCTTGCAATTCACCCATATCCAAACCTACTGTCCTACACTCGACTCTTTCTCGCTCACGTAGTTTACCAACATTCCAAAAACGTATTGCTGGTATGCCTCGTATAATCTTTACTGAATCGCACCGTACACTATCTACATATAGCAGCTATAATAGACACAAATAAAAATTTAAGTAAGTAAACACAATTTAATGAATTTGTACACATATTCATTTATTGTGAATCATTTTAGATAATGCATATGAAAAATTATTATGTTTTGAAATACATTTGAATTTCATACAAAATATTACCAAAAGAAAGATAATTGGCCCAACATAGAATCCTTTTCTGCTGTATGGATTCCATGCACTTCTTGTGTCCTTAAGGCAATCAAAAACATATTCACACCAATCAATGTCACTTAGATTCAGGTCTTTTGTTATTTTTGATAACATGGAAAGGTCACATGTTCCCATGCTCAATGATTGGCCTAGTGTATTACACGGTAGAACAAAGATGTTTACTTAAAAAAGAAATTCTGCATGTGTTGTTTTCATAATAGCCTTTTGAACTGCCCTTGGTCTAATATTATCTTCATCATCGAATTGTTTCTTCCAAACAGTAATCGTGTCGTCTGTAACCTGTCTATATGTCATCGACTTTATTGCAACATTCCCTAAAGGCAGACCCAAGAATTCGTGAATAACCTCCCGATTTATTGGTATATCACCATGATGAAGCCTGAGTACCATCCTATCTGCATCAAAATTCTTTACCGTATAATGCCCAATAATTGATGCGCACCCATCCATTTTCATATTTAACAAATTCCTAGATCAATAGAAGAAAGATATGATTCCTATTCCTCGCTAAGGTTATGCATACAACAGTAAAACATATTTGGTGATGTTCGTACTTGTATTCGCCTTGGTTCTTCTGCATTAGTATCTACCACTTTAGGAACTTTTCTTGCTTTCCCTACGTTTCCTTCATTATTCTTTCGCCTCTTTTGTACAACTTCATTTTTAACAAATTTCTTCACACGTTCTTCATTTTTATCTTTGAATGAAGTACCATGCATCCTATTTTTCCTAATAAGCACATGTTCTACATCTTCAAAATCCGAGTCCTCATCGGCATCAAACTTCTTGACCTTGACCTTACTTTTTATATTATATTCTTCTGTTAATACATATAAAACAATATAAATGATTATAAAGAAATACCGAAATAAACTTCAAATAAATTTAGTTTTAACTAATTCATTACTTGAATCTGAGTTCAAAACAACAAGTTCATGACCCTTTCTTTTACAACTGTCAAACCGTTTTTTTGTTCTGAATTCATTTTCCCTTTGTATCGAATTTTTCGGTGTGCGGTCTACGCTTTCATCCCAACCTGTCAAGATAAAAAGAACACAATCATTATAGAATACAATTGCAAATACATTTTCCATGACAGGTAATCATCATTAATAATTGTTTGTTTCTTTATTTTTTTTCTTAGATGTTGAATCTTCCTTTTGCATTTGTCTTTTAATTGGAGGTTGTTTTGTTTCGTTTCCTTGATGGTCTTCGCCTTCCATATCAATAAGCACCGGATTTGATTCTTCATTAGTGAATTTGCTGAATGTTGTCTTTAGTAATATCCTGTCGCTTTTCTTTCTACCTAAAAAACAATAAAATAACACTTTCATTGATTAATCACCATTGTATGTAACAATTAAAACCTAATAACACAATATATCTAAGTTAGTTAAACCAAACCAACAATGATTATCAAAACTTAATAAAACAGTATACACCATTGGCCACATACACCATTAATCATTAATTACTACATCAATCATACATGATCACTCATAAACACATATTTAATCAGTCAAATACACAATCACAGACTAAAATGCCTTTAACAATCAAAACTGAATACAACCTAGTGAATAATACTATAAAAATCATACTTTCCCTTTAATCAATATTAAATACATATAGTTCCTTTCATAATTCTACACCATCAATCATTTTTAAAAAAATCATAAAGAAATATAAAAACCATAATAGAGGCTATCAATGCACTACTTTTACAGTTAAACAACATTCAAAATCGTTTAGTAAATTTACTTATTCCTGTTCTGTTAATCATCGACTACATTCTTTGATCTTCCATAACAGAGGCTAGAATAAAAATTCAAAAACCCTGATTTTAGGGGTTTCATAATCGTGGTAAAATTGAAAGAAGTTATTCTTATCAAGTTCAAATACACATTCAGAGTCAAAAACAATTTTTGCGCGATTTAAGATTTCAACCACATTCATAAACGATTTTGCAACATTACAATTCCTATCAGACGCTTGACAATTTGGAAAAAAGGTATGATTATCAAATTCGATTACACATTCAGAGACAAGAATGATTTTTGCGACATTTAACATTTCAACCACATTCATATACGATTGTGCAACATGACACTTCATATCAGAGGCTATAACAAAAAATCAAAAACCCTAATTTTAGGGTTTTCAGAATCGTCTTAAATGTAAAGAAACAGAAGACTAAAACCTATGATTATACTCATTTTCCAGTTAAACACCATTCATAATAGATTACAAAACTTACTTCTTCCAGTTCTGTTCATTATCGACGACATTCTTTCACCTTCCACCTTCACATTCTCCACAATCGACAATAGTGTTTACGGAAGAACAGTAGCAATCGACGATTGTATAAATGGCTATTATTGAGATTATTTTCCATTGCAAGTGAAGATACGATCGGATCCTCCCAAAGATAAGAGCTTAGCTGTGATTACTAAAACATAGGAACAGTTTCTTTTGTTTATATCACTTACCCGATATATTGAAAATGGGTGACATCATAAAATTTTACTTGAATCCCTTTACTATTTTTTTTAATTTAAAATTAATTGAAAATCATTTATTCTTATTTAAAATAAATGATTAATAATAGCCTTAGATTTAGAAATTTTAATGTATCAGATGTGTTCTCGCGTTCTCAACCTTTTAGGTGTTCTCATTTGATCTTTTTCCCTATATATATATATATATAAGATATAGATATATATATATTATAGTAAATATATATATATATAACGATATATATAATAGATATTATGCTATATATATTATATCTCTATATATAATATATCTCTATCTCCTATATCTACCTATATATATATTCTTCTAGATCTATCTATGGCTTGGTTCACTTGAGACTCAACTAAAAAAAATAGAGATCTTGAGATTCAACCTCAGCCACATATTTCTCATTTGTCGCTCTAACGCTCTAGTATACCGACAGCAACATGGTATCCCCAATCATAAATGATTATATGGCAGAGAGGTATAATCATATATGATAATAAATGTTTATACATATATGCCTACTCATAAATGATTATACATATATGTTTGTTCACAGATTGAGTAATCATATAGGATTATAACGGTTGGTGGCAGAAAAGGTGATGGTGGCAGAAGTGGCGGTAGTATAAGTGACGAAGGTGGTAGTAGTGGGGTTGGATGGTGGCTGAAGTGGTGATAGTGGTTGCGGGGGTGGCTATTGTGGTGGTGGGGAAGGTGGCGGAGGTGAAAGGAACGGACAGGCTACATAATCATTTATGCTTATAAGTGACCCGTCACACCAGTACCCTGGAGGGTTATAGCGTCAGATGTCAACTACGCGGTGGTAGCAAGTAGAGGCAGAGGCGGAGGTGGCGGTGGCAGAGAGGGTGGTGGAGGAGAGAAAATATGGTGCATTCATATATGAATATACGTAAATTTATATTGATATATAAATTTTTCATCTTCACTGTCGCGCCAGTGCGACGGAGGATTTTGAGGCAAGATATAATTGAGTGACTAAGATGGATTTTCCTGTTTCCAAGATTTTTTTCAATTGAATTCTCTCTCTCTCTCTCTATATAGATATATAATATATATATATATAATATATATCTATATATATATAGATATATAATCATATATATAATATGTATATTATATATATATATATTTGTGACATGCTTTCAGGGGGTTGAATGTTGGATGATGGATCAGACCTTGAAGCCTTCCTGAGAACACAACACAGAAGAATATGTTAAAGGACGTCCGGGTGTTCTCCCGGGGACGTCGCTCCGATGATCAAGTTAGTTTTCTGAAAGAGAGAGAGAGAGAGAGAGAGAGAGAGAGAGAGAGTTTTAGGGTATCTTTCATGAGGAAGAAGATGGATCCCTTCCTTGAGCTGGAAGAGATCCTTTTATACCTATTACTAACGGATCGTGGGGACCTTGTCCAGTGAGTGTCAGACGTGGCCTCCTCTTACTGGGAGTATTATGTCCACACTAACTAACTACCAGGTGACGCCAGTTCTGGGCGTCACCTAGGGTTTTTGTCATGCCCTGATTGGTCGTGAGTGAATGAGAAGATCACGGGGAATATTCATTCCTCGTGAGGGAGAGCGAACTATCACCCTGGTGTTGGCTCACTTAGGCCTAGACCGGGTCTTGGCCAAGGTTCTGGCATGATAATGTCTCAGTTATGCTTTCCGTTATATTTAACATGGCCATACAAGGTAACGTTAACAAGTCCCTTAGACCAGTAGGCTTCTGCGTTAATGACATAGTAGAGTCCTTCTGGTTTACTCACAGACACGTGGCGGGCTGCTACCGATAGCTTATACGGTTGTCAGAGCGAAATCGCCGTTCTTCGGCAGTTTCATCATGAAAACGGTTTGCTACCCCTTTAGTTGCATTTAAACCACTGTCCTTCCTTGCATTCCCTCGTTACCTTCTGGCTTTCTTTCTTTGTCTTCTTACCCCAGAGAATCCTTTCAACCTTTTCTTTGCATTCTTTAATGGCTACTGCACGTTCTTTGGGAAGAGATCTTACTGCCGAGGAGTGGGAATCTTTTCATTTTTTATTCGGGTTTGTCCCCGAACACGGAGTGCAAATCCCCCTTTCTGATGCCTCGCATTACAGTCCTCCCAAGGGCAAAGTTGGTATTCTGATCGCCCTATTCGAAGCGGGTTTGCATTTGCCTACTACAGACTTCTTCAATCTGATTATCCAGGAGTATGGGTTTTCCGTGAGGGAGTTGACCCCAATTGCTATAAACAAGATAGTGGGTTTTGAACTCCTTTTTCGGGCCCTAGGGCCGTCAGCCAACTGTTCCAAATTCAAGTATTTTTTATTAACTCTTCTACCCAGTCTGGGACTCGGACCCTTTCTTGTCAGCGGGGAGTCCCTACCCTCATCCATGACAAAATTCAAGAAGAACTGGCAGGAGAATATTTTATGGGTGAACGATGACCTTGTGGTGCTCAGCTACCCAAGGAATAAGGTGTATGTGGACCGCGCTCCAACGCTCTTTGGTGCTGACAAAGAGCTGGCTGATGCCCTGGAGAAGATTAACATCAACAGCAAGGACTGGCTCGACTGCTTCTTGGCCGCTGGTGGGATAAGCGCCGCATGTAGGGCTCGAGGGAAAATGCCTGAATTTTTCATCGAGAAAGAAGGTACAATGCTTCTTCTTCTATTTTCTCTTGTCCTCCCCCCCCCCCAACCTTTTTTTCGTAACCCTTGAGAGTGAGTAACTTTATTAACCGTTGTTGTTTTTTCTTTTTTTTTCAGGTGTGGAGGAGTTTATATCCTTAGAGAAAGCTCTTCAAGGGCTGTTCGACGGTGAACTTTAGTGTCGTGACGTAGATCTTGTAGAGACTCTTCCACCCCCTGAGTCTGGTCAAGGAATCGGGGCTACCGTCGGCTCCGAAGGTGCTACTGGCGCCAGCAAGGATTCAGACCAGCAGGACATTATTGTTACTGGCGCTTCTCAGAATGATCCTACTCCTTCTGGGTCCCCAAGGAGTCTCCTCCGTGTCAAGAGGCGCTTTGCTTTCTTGGAAGCCTCTTCCGGTGGCCATGCTGAGACGGTTAGCGCCGAGCCCCCTCTTTGCAAGAAACGTTATCTGAGTTTCTTGCTACAGGGTTCTAAGAGTTCCACCCGTGCCCCCAATGAAAGTCCTCCAAAACTGCTGGAGGGGGCACACCATAGGGCAACTGAACCGCCCAGTCATGAGGAAGAACACATCAATGTGACCAGCCCTAATCCTATCGTTGGAGGTGCCGAGGCAAAGACTGGGTCTTCACTTTCCCAAGGTATTGTATCAACTGCTTCTAGAAAAGCAGGAACTGTTCCTCTTGCCACAGGGTCTCATTCAAATGCCAACAAGCCACTGTAGAGACTAACTCCACAAAATCTTGTGTCTGAGCACGAAACAGCTCTTGAGTGGTGTCAGCACGCTTTTCCACCTGCTACAACTGAGGCTCTGGATGTTGTAACTGATAATCACATGGCTGACGACCTTCGCTATGCCGCCACCCAGGTGTCATCTTATCTGGTTTCAGCTGATGAACGCATCTCCAATATAGATACCATCCAGACTCATTCGGACAAGATGAGCATCGAATGTGTAGAGTTGTAAATGCATGTGGAAAAGATGGAAGCCGACAAGCGTAGCTGGGAAGCCAAGCAGGAGGTGGTGATGCTCGAGAAGGCAAGCTTAAAAGAGCAAGTGCCAAAGCTTGAGGAAGAAGTGAGGCACTTGAATGACCGCATGGGAGCCCTGAGTTTGGAGAATGCTGGTCTGAGTGAGCGGACGGCAGAGCTGGAGGTTGGTCTGTTCGGGGAGAACGCTGCAAAAGGAGCACTAGAGAAGGATATTTCATGGATCCTTAAAGATGGGCTCAGCAGAGTGGTGGACAGGGTGATTGAGAGCCCTCGGTTTCTCCAAGGTTTGGTTCATGTACAGGAGGTTTGTGTGGCGGCAGGTGTAGAGCAGGGGATAAATGTTGTAAGGGAGCTGGTGGTTACCAGAGAGTTTGATCTAGAGATTGAGGTGGGATGTGGCCACCAAGACCCAAGAGACGGTAGATGTCATGGCGACTTTCACTTAAACTGATTTTGCTGGTTATCTTCGCCTGGGCAGTCCGGACATGGCCGGGCTCCGTGATCTTTTGCCAAGACACTCAGAGCGATGGGTCGGGCCTGGCCTAGCGGCTTTCCCCAGTGATGTACACCTCCCACATAAGTAGCGTTGTGTTCTTGTTTTGTTTTGATGTAACCCTAATGAACAATATTTTCTATGTCTTTCTTTGTTTCTTGTCTGTGCTGCCCTTAGTGGCAACCTAAAAGTCCGGGAGTCCGACAATTTGACAATGCTCACTTTTGATTGTTGGGTATGAATGTTTCTTGCTACTGCATATAATCTTTTGTTTTTTTGCTTTGTGTATGGTTTATGTTGGACATCACATATTATTGATACAAGGTCTGCTGATATCCCTGGTTTGAGTTCTTTTCTTTGTGAACTCCTTGTGCTTTTCTAATGCTGGTCTTTGAGAAATTTGTTCTAATTTGCTGCTTAAAGACCCTAGGTGTAGCCAAGATCGTCATCTTAAGGCTCACCCAATTATGCTTTTCTCATTAGTGGGAGGTTATAAATCTTCTACACTCATGTCACATGTTCTTTTGTATGGTTGCTATAATGTGATTGATGAACATGTTTTGGGGGAAAGGTTATGAACCTTTTTTATACAAACCCTGTCACAACTAGCATTTGTGGGCTAAGAAATT